AACTTCGAACAAACAATCCGGGCGACTGTTGGGGACTCGCCTGTACTGAAAATTCCCAAGGCAATGGGTCCGGAGATGTCCGGCGAGGCCGCTCTACGCGCAGAATGTTCGTTGACAGAGCGGGCATGTTAGGGAGCGTTAGAGGTTGGCGTTGCGGGCCAGAGGTCCGTGAGACTTGCGGACTTCTTTTTTGGCTTCGGCCTCAGCAACCCGGTCGGCTTCATGGATCTCTGCTCTTCTCCAGGCTGGTCGGTGCTGCAAGAGGTCCTCCCAGATTTGAAGACGACTGCAGAGGAGACAGCTGCAGTGATGCCTGATCAAGCCGTTCTCGATGATGTTATGGACTGTGCCCCTCCATGCGCGACAACCGCAGTAGCAGTCCTGGACAGCTCTGTTCTATAGACAAACTAGTACTGATAATGATAATTGCGAGCATAAGCATGCGTAACCGGCGCAGTCCGATGTTTAATGGTCTTCTCTGGAAGGGAACGTTTGAAATAAACAATTTTGAGGTAGAATGGTGTTACCGACAAAGACAAGGGGGACTGGAATGGCCACTTCTGGCTTATTAGCCGTCGTCAGCCAATCATACCCAACTCCGAAGTGTGGAACACCCGAGGCTCGAACACGCGACCTGTTAATTAGAAGTCTACGCCTCTAACCACTGGGCCACGAGGCCGTTGCCCTGTCGGTTTCGATCGAAAATATACAATGGTAGGGGGCGTTCACCGACCGTTCTTAAGGAAGCTCGCGATCTAGTTGTTTAAGCGCAACCATGCTCAAGGGAATCTAGTAAAACCGATCCAAAACCACAACAAAGTCCGGAGTAAGGATGGTAATTTGCGTATCCGCAAACGGATACTTGAGCACTTTCCAGCGCAAAATATAGGTGTCTGAGATCTACTACTCGGTCTGATAGGATTACCAGTTACGGTTGGCTTCCGGGGACGTTCAGGGAGAAGTTGCACTATAAGATAATCAATAGCAATGTTCATATTTGCAAGCCATTTTGTCAACAGCCAGATCGGGATGCGACACCCCTGAATTCCAAGAGCAATGACCGATGGGCAGATTCACCCAGTCATATTGGAGGTGGTTATCGAATTGCAGATATCTTTAGAGGGCATTGCGCTAATTTCCGACGACAAACGACGTAGACGGGTGTCGACGCCCCTCTCCAACAACAGCGGGGGCGAGGTCTTAAATGGAATAAGCTATTGTTTTCAGTCTGACGTGAAGGCCGACCCTGTCAGGGCTTTTGGAAATTACGCGATTTCTTAGCTAACACACTGCCTGGTCCGGACTATGCCTACCGTAGCAGCTGCAATATTTTTCCGAATGCCTCAGCACTTGGAGCAAGTCGCAGTCAGGCAAATGCAGGAAGACACCGGGTCTTGAAACGCTGTTGTAATGTAAAGAAGATGAAGATCCGATCTCTGGGACAGTGGGTTTATTAGTCTGAGCTTTCGGTCTCGTACAGGAGGCCATCGTCAGAGACTGTGAGAAGGCAACATCAAATGAGCGGTTTTTGTAGTCACGC